TTAAGTATCTTTAAGTATCTTTTGTTATCTTAAGCTCTAGTCCATAAGTGGTAAAGAGATACGATAACTGAAGTGGTTAATGCAAAACGTTGTTTGTATGCAAAATTATTTGATAATGAAAATATGTTTCTTCATTAGGCTGCTTAAAGGTCAGAGAAAATAATTATAAAATTCTAATAAATCATTCTCATTAATAAACTCAGTCTTTTAAACTTATGCATAAGCTTAATATTTTATGTGTATATTGCTATTGAAAAGTCTCATTCGGGTATTTTCCATTTTATTTTTTTGGCTGCTTAAAAATAAATTTTAACCAAAAATTGTAAATAAGATAATATATTAAAGTGACCATGTCAGGAAAATAAGTTTGAAGCAAAAAACTTTTCTTGCAAAAGAAGAGATTAAGTGCTTGAATACCTTTCTCACTGACTCCACCACTGAACACTGCTACATTGATTAAATTATTTTCTGAACTCTGCTAAGATTCTAGCTCTTCCAATATTGTAACTCTCTGATGTTCTCCAGAGACTCCTCAGTGGTTCCTGCCACTGATCTTCATGTCACTACAGTGCTCTGTAGGGATATGGAGGTAGGTGGGAGGAACCACTGAGTACAATGTCATTTTCCCAGACTTAATGAAGAATTATTTTACAAAAATGGTAATGAGAGATTATGTAGGCCTTTTATCTTATTGTACTTCATTATTTAAGCCACATTCATTACTAGTAATTTTGGGGAAGGAAATAGTATTTGGTATCTATCCCTTTGACATAGTGAAATCCAGATCAATACAGGTGTGATCCATGATCATAAGAGGAGCTTAAAGACATAAATTGAAAGCCCTCTCCCCTGTGCAATGAAGTTTATATTTGCAATGACCTTTGGGCTAATCTTTAAAATTATTAATAATAAATAACTAATCCCAATAAATGAATAAACAATAAAATATCAAACTATAGAATTAAGGACTAAAATTGATCCTCGATTAAAAAGATCATGATGTTTCACTGGAGACTCTAGTCGCAAGTCTGAAATCCTTTTTGGCATATTATGAGATAACCTAATAACTTGGAAAAGACTACAAGATGCCTGATAAATCTTTTTAAATAATTGTTTAAAGGAAATTTAAATAAAACCTACTAGTAGCTTACAGCTCATTCACTATACTTTTAGATGTAAGCTAAGCTTTACTTAATTATTTTAACATGAGTATTTTGCTATTTAGAAACTCAGGTCTGCAGCTATTAACTCTGCATTATTTAAAATTCTACATGAGCAAAAGATACTTTCTTCTCATTTGCTATGTAAACTTTGGAATCCTTTCTATATTAATCACAACTATCTTGAAGGCTATAGTAATCTTTAAGCCAAGTTAAAGCCTTTTTCTTAACATAAGATCAACGCAGCTGATCATTTCTATGTGCTTGTGCCAAGCTTAGCTTTGAAAAGCTTACATTCAATTACTGTACTGAAACGATATAAAAAATTTAAATAGACCTCTACTTAGAAATTACAACTATACTGGGGAATGAATTGTAACTGCGTCGAATTTTTATTTCAATAAATTATAACTTTAGCATGCTCTATTTAGAAAAACGCATCATACTTTTAATGAATGATAGGAGTTGATTTATTAAAACCGGAGAGTGCAAAATTTGGTGCCACTGTGAATGGTAGCGAATCAGCTTTTAACTAAAGCTTGTTCAATTAAGCTTTGACCAAAAAACAAACAAACAAAACAAAACTTGAAGCTGCTCGATTTCTGTGCAGAGCTGCATCAGATTTTGCACTTTCCAGTTTTAGTAAATCAACCCCTAAATGTCCGAGACACACTTTTTTAAAATTAATATATCTTTTATTAGGTATTCCAGTACAAAAATATAACAGCCCAATGTACAGCAAAATCACATGTACATAAATCCCATTTTACAACATATTTTCCTCCACCCCGCCCTTTCTCCCCCTAACCTCCCTACCAAAATATCCCTGTTCAGATCTTGTTTACTATGTTCTTACGCCTCTTGTACTTATCTATCTATATCTATGTCCTTTTCCCTCACACGACCACTCTCGCTTTCACACTCTCTGTCAAGCTCCCTCTAGACTTTCCCCCCTAAGCTGCAGACCAGTTCCGTGTATCTTTTAGATGTTTTAAATTCTAGCCAACTACTCCACATTTTCCTAAATTTTTCCATTTTGACCTCCTCCACATGACACAGCTCCGCCATCCTAAAAATATTTTAAACTCTATTCAACCAATCTTTTATTCCTGGTGGCTCCGGAGATTGCCAAAACCTGGGGATCAAGCCCTTAGGCTGGCCACACATTATACAATATTCTTGAGAATTTTGCTTTAGATTTACCAAAAACCATATAATATGAGGTCAAATCTAACAACACTTTCAATTGTATCCAATTAGGCAGGCTCTTGCAGTACATAGTTGAAGGTAAATCTAAAGGAAATTGGGCAGAAATTGACCAGAAAATTGTATAGTGTATGGCCAGCCTAACTATATGCTTCGGGCAGCATGCTGAAACAATGAAATCACGGCAGGTGCAAATTATGAGGAAACATGCATCACTCCAAAGTCTAATTGGATACAATTGAAACTGTTGTTTAGGCTTGACCTCATATGGTTTTTGGTAAATCTAAAGCAAAATTCTCAAGAAAATTGTATAGTGTATGGTCAGCCTTAGCTGCACTGATTAAATGATTTAATACCCTGTTTTTAAACATTTTGCCTATGGGGTTGGAATAAAATAAACACATCCATGGGTCCATTTGTATAATAATCCCACTGTTTTCCTGAATCCAATGAATTATTTCCTTCCACAAATCCTGTATTTTCTGGCACTCCCACCAAATGTGAGTCATTGTACCTTTTTTCCTACAGCCTCTACAACATAAAGGTGAAACATCAACTTGCTGTTTATGTGCCACACTCAGTGTAATATACCATCTCGCCAAGCATTTGTAATTGATTACTACTGTGCTCATATTTGTCACCTGATGTGTTAATTTAAATATTTTATTCTTTTGTTGCTCATTCAGTTCTGTTTCAAGCTCCTTTTCCCATTTTTCCAAGAACCTAGGAGGATCGTTTCCTTCCATATCTAACAGGATCTTATATATCCTGAAGGTGGCTTGTTTCAGAACTGTATTTACATTCAACAATTTTTCAAATGGATACATACAGGTGAAACTTGAAAAATTAGAATATAGTGCAAAAGTTCATTTATTTCAGTAATGCAACTTAAAAGGTGAAACTAATATATGAGATAAACTCATTACATGCAAAGCAAGATAGTTCAAGCCGTGATTTGTCATAATTGTAATGATTATGGCTTATAGCTCATGAAAACCCCAAATCCACAATCTCAGGAAATTAGAATATTACATGCAATCAATAAAACAAGGATTGTACATAGAACAATATCAGACCTCTGAAAAGTATAACCAGGCATATGTACTCAGTACTTGGTTTGGTCCCCTTTTACAGCAATTACTGCCTCAATGCGGCGTGGCTGAGGTGTTATGGAAAACCAGGATGCTTCAATAGCGGCCTTCAGCTCTTCTGCATTGTTCAATCTCATGTCTCTCATCTTTATCTTGGCAGTGCCCCATAGATTCTCTATGGGGTTCAGGTCAGGCAAGTTTGCTGGCCAATCAAGCACAGCAATCCCACGGTCATTGAACCAGGTTTTGGTGCTTTAGGCAGTGTGGGCAGGTGCCACGTCCTGCTGGAAAATGAAGTCATCATCCCCATAAAGCTCGTCTGCTGAAGGAAGCATGAAGTGTTCCAAAATCTCCTGGTAGACGGCTGCATTGACCCTGGACTTATTGAAGCACAGTGGACCAACACCAGCAGATGACATGGCTCCCCAAATCAACGCAGACTGTGGAAACTTCACACTGGACTTCAAGCATCTTGCAGTGTGTGCCTCTCCATTCTTCCTCCATACTCTGGGTCCTTGGTTTCCAAATGAGATGCAAAAGTTGCTCTCATCAGAAAAGAGGACTTTGGACCACTGAGTAACAGACCAGGTCTATTTTTCTTTAGCCCAGGTAAGACGCTTCTGGCGTTGTTTGTTGCTCAGGAGCGGCTTGACAATACGACATTTGAAGCCCATGTCCAGGATCTGTGTGTGTGTGGTGGCTCTTGATGCACTGACTCCAGCCTCAGTACACTCCTTGTGAAAGGATTTGGGGTTTTCATGAGCTGTAAGCCATAATCATTACAATTATGACAAATCACGGCTTGAACTATCTTGCTTTGCATGTAATGAGTTTATCTCATATATTAGTTTCACCTTTTAAGTTGCATTACTGAAATAAATGAACTTTTGCACGATATTCAAATTTTTTGAGTTTCACCTGTATACTCTGAGGTCCTCAGTGGTTGTGGGAGCATTGAAACAAAGTGTCCTAGTTGTCCATACCGCCACTCATCTAATGTGAAAAATAAATCTTTTTTTTTCTTTAACTCTTAAGAGGTGTGTAATTTCCCCTTATTCAAAATATCCTTCAAATGTGCATTTTTATCTTTAATCCATTTTCTAGAAATTATATCCTTCCCTGGAGGAAAATACTCCGTACCCACCAAAGGAGTCAGCAAGAAATTGTATTTTTCATCATTTCTGCTTAGAAATTATATCCCAAACACTTAACACTTTTTTTTTAGTAAGGATATGGGTCTATAACTAGCACACTGTGAGCTATCCTTCCCTTTTTTGAGTCTGATAGTTATATGTGCTTGCAGTGATTCTTACCTCATTTCCATCCCCTCTCCTATTGCATTAATGTAACCACACATTTTAGGGAACAGAAGATCTCAAAATTTTTAAAAATAGCCCACAGTGTATCCTTCCAGACCAGGGCTCTTTCCAGGGACCTTGTTCTTTAACCGCCTCCCGCCCGCCATATAGTAATATGATGGACGCAAGGCGGTTCTCTCATTCTGGGAGGACATCATATGACGTCCTCCCATTCTAACCGTGCATGCGTGGCTCCCGGAGTGCACAGTGCGGCGATCGGCGGTGTGCTGTGTCCCTCGGACACAGCAGATCACCGATCCACGGGAAAAGCCGAAGATGTCAGCTCGGTCATGTGATCAGCTGTGTCTGATCACAGCTGATCACATGTAAACAGGGAAATGCCAGTTATCAGCATTTCTCTCCCAACGAGCTGTCACGCTGACAGCTCGTGAGGAGAGAAGAGCCGGTAATCAGCATTCCTCAGAGGGGACATGTACACAGATCATCAGAGCACTGATGATCAGTGTTCCCTGATGATCTGTGTAGCCCCAGCAGCGCCACCTGTCAGTGTCCATCAGTGCTCATCCATGCCACCTTCCAGTGCCCATCAGTGCCACATTAATGCCACATGTCAGTGCCAATCTGAGCTGCCTTTCAGTGTCACCCATCAGTGCCAGTCAGTGCCACCTATAAATGCCAGTCAGTGCCACCTATCAGTGCTACCAATCAGTGCCACCTATCAGTGCCAGTCAGTGCCTCCTATAAGTGCCAGTCAGTGCCGCCTATAAGTGTGCATCAGTTTTGCCTATCAGTGCCCGTCAGTGCTGCCTATCAGTGCCACCTAACAGTGCCAGTCAGTGCCACCTAACAGTGCCAGTCAGTGCTGCCTATCAGTGCTGCCTATCAGTGCCACCTATCAGTGCCATATATGAGAGCTACCTTTCAGTGACCATCAGTGATGCCTGTCAATGCCCATCAGTGCCACCTACCAGTGCCTCCTCATCAGTGTCCATCAGTGCCACCTATCAGTGTCCATCAGTGCAGCCTATTAGTGCCCATCACTGCAGCCTCATTAGCGCACATCATTGAAGGAGAAAAATCACTTATTTACAAAATTTTATAACAAAAACTAAGAAAAAACTTTTTTTCCCCAAAATTTTCAGTGGTTTTTGGTTTGTGTAAGAAAAAATAAAAAACCCAGAGGTGATTAAATACTACCAAAATAAAGCTCTATTTCTCTGACGCTGACAGCTCATGAGGAGAGGAGAGCCAGTAATCGGCATTCCTCGGAGGGGACATATACACAGATCATCAGAGCACTGATGATCAGTGTTCCCTGATGATCTGTGTAGCCCCAGCAGCACCACCTGTCAGTGTCCATCAGTGCCAGCTCTCAGTGCTCATCCATGCCACCTACCAGTGCTCATCAGTGCCACATATCAGTGCCCATCTGAGCTGTCTTTCAGTGTCACACATCAGTGCCAGTCAGTGCCACCTATCAGTGCTGCCAATCAGTGCCAGTCAGTGCCGCATATCAGTGCCAGTCAGTGCCGCTTATCAGTGTGCATCGGTGCTGCCTACCAGTGCCCGTCAGTGCTGCCTATCAGTGCTGCCTAACAGTGCCAGTCAGTGCTGCCTATCAGTGCCATATATGAGTGCTGCCTATCAGTGCCATATATGAGTGCTGCCTTTCAGTGCCCATCAGTGAGGCCTGTCAATGCCAATAAGTGCCACCTATCAGTGCCTCCTCATCAGTGCCCATCAGTGCCACCTATCAGTGTCCATCAGTGCAGCCTATCAGTGTCCATCACTGCAGCCTCATTAGCGCACATCAGTGAAGGAGAAAAAAATCACTTATTTACAAAATTTTTATAACAAAAACTAAGAAAAAACTTTTTTTTTCACAATTTTCAGTGGCTTTTGGTCTGTTTAAGAAAAAATTAAAAAAACCCAGAGGCGAGTAAATACCACCAAAATAAAGCTCTATTTCTCACAAAAAAATGATAAAATGTCATATGGGTACAGTGTTGCATGACCGCGCAATTGTCATTCAAAGTGCAACAGCGCTGAAAGCTGGAAATTGGCATGGGCAGGAAGGGAGTATAAGTGCCCTGTAGGCTAGTGGTTAAAGCCAAGCTGATTTCCTCCGGGGTAATAGTTCTCTCTAGGTCCTTAGTTTTTCTTCTGCTATTCTTGGCATCTCCACTTCCTTTAAGTATGTATGCCTTTTTCTCTTCTTTTCATCGTCTGTTTCTTTTTGATTGCTGGGACTCACGTCATAAAGCCTACTATAGTATTCTTGGAACCCATTAGCAATATCACTGGTGGAGCACACCAATTCTCCTTTACCAGTTTGAATTTTATCTATAACATTTTTGGATTTCTTTTCCTTTAGCCTCTGCATTAGGTGTTTTTCAGGTCTATTCCCCCACTGATATCTTTCTTTGATATCCTATTAAATATCTTCCTCAACTCCTGTTCCATAAGATCTTTTTTTTTTTTTTATTTATTGAGTTTTCAATAAGACAAATGATAACAAAGAATACAGATACAGTAAGGGAAAGTGCATAAAAGTAGGCATTGGGAACCAATCCGTGCATATCAATAATCACAGATATAGGTATGACACACATATGATACATTCAGTCAGATTGGCAAAAGACAAGAGAAATGTATATCAGTCCAACATGAAGAGTAACTACAACAATAACAAAGGCATAGCCCCGTGCGCTAAGCCCTAGGAGGCAAGGGTTGTATAGTGTGAGAACACATTTCAGAATATATTCAATAATATTATAAAGATAGGAGGAAATGGTCGGCTAACAGAGGGAGTATCAAGGAGGAAGAGAAGGAGAAAGAAGGGGGAAGAATAAAAGGGAGGAGAAAAAAAAAGGGGGACTAGTACGGAGCAATAAGAAAAAATTAGGGGGATCAGGAATGGCATACCCGCTCCACTATGGCTACACCAGGAGAGGGGTCAGCTCCACCAGCAACTCAGGAGTGGAATTCAGAGGAGTAGCGGAACAAGGTCCAAGGGGTCCAGATAGAAGAGAACCGATCCATTTTTTCCGATTTCCGTGCCAACAGATGTTCAAGGTAATGGATAGAGTCCAGCTCGTAAACCCACTCTCCCAAGGAGGGCACAGAAGTGGACTTCCAGTGGCGTGGGATAACTGCCTGGTAGCGGCCACCAGGTGTCTCAAGATATCTCGTTTCACTGATTTGATTGATACAGGTAGTAGAGAAAGAAGAGCCAGCTCAGGGGATGGAAGAACTGGTGTTGTCATCAGTTTACAATACAGGTCAAAAATAGATTGCCAGAATTTCCAGATAGGTGGACAGATATGAAGTAGGGTACCCCATGAGATTTGAAAATGCCAGCAAATATTGGGGATTGAAGGGTAGAAGCGGTGAAGAAGCAATGGGCATCTATACCATCTGGTTAGAAGTTTGAAGCCTTTTTCCTACGTTTTGGAAGCCGGGGATAATGTGTGGGTCAGGATGAAACATTTTTGCCAATCTATTAGGGAGATGGTAAGTTGTAGATCTACCTCCCAGGTATGGGTATAAAGAGGAAGATTGGGGGTTTATGCACAAAGAAGGATCGAATACACTTGGGAAACCACATGGATGGGAGGGTCAGATTGGAGCAGGAGTTGTTCAAAGCCAGTCGACAGGGTGAAAACACCAGAGACAGAGGGAAAGGAAGTAATGTAGGATACCACCTGTCTTCGTTGAAACCAGGAGAACGAAGATGGGAGGGAGGATACAGAGGGGGCCATCAGGAACAAGGTAGGATCAGAACGAAGAACCTGGGCCAATCTCCTGTAATCATGGTCATTCCAAATTGCAAAAAGAAGGGGCAGAGAGAGCCGGGGGGGAAAGCCGGGGTCCCAAAGAATGGGGTCATGGGCCCCACATATTTGGAGAGGCAGTAAGAAGACATTCCGTGATCCTATATGCGAAGGATATGTTTAGTGAAAACACTAAGGGTGGAGAGATTAGGGCAGTATAGACGTGGTATCCAGGGTAAGGCTTGGAGATCAATGGGGCACATGTGTTGTTCCAACTGGACCCAAAGTTTAGAGGACTGGCTGTGAAACCAATTAGGATTCAAACAAGAATAGCTGCTTTGTGGTAAAGGGAGGCGTAGGGGCTCCCACCCCTCCCTTAATTTTTGGAAGGAAGAAGGTGTTCCAACGAATCCTAGGATGATGTGATTTCCGTAAGATCTTTTAATTCTTCTCTTTTAAGGATTATCTCCTAGTATAAATCCATACCTCTCTTCTTTTTATGTAACTGTTCTAATTTATATAGCTCCTCCTTCAACCTCTTTATTTTTTCCCCCCGTTCTTTCTTTTTTTCAGCCCCTATCGCTATCAGTATTCTCCTGATATATGCTTTATGTGCCTCCCAGATTGTGGCCACAGAAACTTCCTTGGCCTCATTAACCTCCCTGGCGGTATTCCTGAGCTTAGCTCGGTGTAAATTTTCAGTACCAAAAGCGGTAGCCCCCGAGCTACACTTGGGAATACCCTGCAGCGTTGCTCTGGGATACCTCTTGCACTTACCTTGTCCTTCGCTCCTGCAATATCCCCCCTGAAGCATCCCCGGCCATCTCCTCTGGCCAATGCCAGCATCCATCTTCAGGGTTCTGTTCCCTGCGAGCGTTGGGATGTACGGGACGTACGGGGGATGGGACCGGCGGCAAATTTAAAAATGTTAAAAAGTGACTTTCACTAAATACACTAAAACCACATAGTATAACATTACTGTTTCAAAGCATTTCACATACATTTTATCCCTAGTGCTTTGGCCTGTGCTCTGCCTGCACATTTACTGTTCTTTCTGCCTTGAAACTGAGAAACGTCCATGGCATCCAAAAAGCATCCCTTTAGGACAAAAGCAGTTTTAGACCAGCTAGAGAACAGCGATAGTAAATTAGAACCACTTGCAGAATTGAGTGATAATGATTCGTGGGGAAATTCATCATCAGACACTGAAAACGATTTTGCGACTAAGATCAGTGATGTGCAAACTTGGCACTCTATTTCAAATTTCAGTGTTTTTGGTTTGATTACATTTGTCCTGTCCCCAGAATACATTCTCTTCTGAGGACTTCAAGGTCAAGATTGACCTGAATAATAATTGTATGTTGTCTTGCATTTGATTGTAGTCATGTTTTATTACAGATTAGTTATCTGTTCTCTTATGCCAACTACTGGCTAAACTTCAGAGCTGTGTTATTTAGCTAAGCCAGTATGTGATCTAAAGGTCATCGCTCCTCTCACAATACAGGAAGTGAACCACCTCATAGAAATCCATGATTCTCTACATGAGAGAAGCAACCAGATTCTATCTCTTTCCATCTGACGGCATCAGAGGTAATTAATGTCACTTTTTCTCTGCTGTAAGTAGCTAGGATTGTATAGAAGAGGATCTTAGCTATATTGAGTGTCATTTTATCTGTGATGTTTATCGTATAGTGATTGCATGTTATCTTCTTGTTATAGTTTTAAGTGAGAGAACTCTTGTCAGAATGTAACAGATCAAGCGTACTTCTCTGCATGCCATGACTCTCTACCTACATACCAGTGTCAGAACAACCCTTCTACCCCAAACCGGTATGAGACAGGTCGACCCAAAGCAGAACCTCTCGACAGGTACGATCGCACACCACACTCCCATTGCAGTAGTGCCATCATGCTCTAATGCCAACCAAGCTGTAATGGACTTTGCTAAATTCTTTGCCAGACGTGACCTGATCGCCAAGGGACTTGTAAAGTTTAACGATAAGTCAGAATATTAAAGAGCTTGGCGGTCATCCTTTCAAAATGCTCTAAAGGGTCTAGACGTGTCCCACACCGAGGTGA